GTTTTTTTTTTTTTTCCTTGAAAATCCTTTCACTGCCTCGATTGGGCAGGAATTTGATTTTCGAATTCTTGGGAGGATGTGCAAAATGACTTTAGCAACAGAATTAGATATACAGTTGAAACACCCAAAGTAGGCTTTCCTCGAGGCAAGGAGGACACTTCTGAAAGAAGCTTCCTACCTTCACTCCAGAGCTGTCCTCCAGCCCTGGTGGGAATTCTCTAACACCATGGTCCCAGGCCACCAAGAGAAGGCTTCCCTTGCTCTAGTGCCCACAACTATGGGACCTCAGCAGGGACAGGTTTGCAGGACCCCTGCTCTAACTCCCAAGTCATGGAGGCCACTAAGTAAAAAATTAGTTAACCAGTATGTATTTATGAAATGCCTACTGAGTGCCAGGTACTTTGTTTGGTACCTCTACACAGGTACCTCATATAATTCTGAATTGAGTGAGAGTCTCTCCTTTTGGAGGGACCTGAGCCTCAGAGGAACTTAATGAAGTTCTACCAGGGACTCTGACACTTTTAGGAAGGCCACCACCAAGCTCCGGAAGAGCGTTGTCATCTGGGGCTCTTCAGTCTTCAACAAGATAACAGGTTTGACCCTGTGCCTTTATAAGGTGCCAGAGGACAAACTGTGGAGGGAAGCAGGGCTTCCATGTCTTCCAAGGACCCAGACCAAGGTATAGGCCATTCTGCTGCCACCACCCTTCACTTCAGTTTCCTTATCTATGAAGCAGAGATGAAGGAACACATAACCTGAGGCAATGTTCAAGTGCTCTGGGAGTCCAGAAAATTCCCTCATCTGAGTTCAGTCTTTTAGTTCTAAAACACATTTCTGAAGAATGTGAGCCTGGTGGGGAAAAGGGCCATTTAGTATAATAGAAATGGCACCAGAGCATCGCCTGGGACAGATGTGGGCTAAATCCTGGCTCTGACACTTCCTGGCTGGGAGACACTGAAAACATTCACATATTTCCACCACCGTGGAATAAATTATTAATGGCTACATTGCAATGCTTTTGTAAGGATTAGTGATAATGAACATAAACACCCAATGCGGGATCTGGACCCGCCAGGTCCTCAGGAAGCAGTAGCTGTAATGACCATGATTTCTGCTGTCAGAAAGGAAAGACTGGGCCTCTGGGCCACTCTCCTGGCCTGGAGTCAGCCCACCCTTTTGGTTGGCCAAATTCTATCTGCCCGGTGCCTAAATGTCTCAGATTAGATGGAGATATTCTAGAGTCCCCATTACAGAAGAAATCTTGTCTTTTTGTTTTGTGGCTTTTGATTTTTCATTGTGAAACACAATATTCATACAGAAAAATGTATGCACATCTATTGCCCGGTCCAACAAATAATCGCAAAGTGAGCACCTTGTCGCCACTGCCCAGGATCAAAACAGGACATTTATGATGCCCTCGGAGCTTTCTTGAGCCCCTCCCAAGAAACAAAGCTCTCATTGCCCCTCAGCCCATCCTGTGGGTGGCCACCACCCACATATTGCTTTTCTTCATTGTTTCAACACCTACCTTGTGACCCAAACAATATAACTGAGTTTTCCTGTTTCTGTACTTCCTATGAATGAAATCACACCATGCATAGTCCTTTGCTCAACTCCATGCTCTTCAGATTCTTTCCATGTGTACATGATATTCCATTGAACAAATCCAGAAATTATCCATTCCACCATTGTGGGGGTATGTTTTCAGTGTAACAAATGATGGTGCCAAGGAAATTTCTGTACAAGTCTTCTCAGTATGCCTGTCTGTTGTGTTTACACCTAGGAATGAAATTGCTGTTTCCTAGGCCTGGTGTCTTCAACTTTGCTGAACAACACCCAATTATTTTCCAAAGTTCACTGCCTTGTCTTTTTGTTAACTTACGCTGTAGATCAGCCAGTCTCAGAGAGGCCCCAGTTTCTTCGCCTTTAAAATCTGAGAAATAGAAGTCCTCTAACAAGGTTCTTATAAAGATAGAATAAAATAACTTTTTTGTGTGTGTTTAGCACATGCCCAGCACAGAGGAGGGTCTTTCATATTAGCTAACATTTATTGAGCACCCCAAATGTGGCGCCTTTGCCCTTTCTATGCTTATCTGTGGATTTGCACTTAAAATTATGTAAAGACTTAACCTCTTCCTCTGCTTTCTTTCTCTGTTTCAGATTTAAGGTCCTCTACCCCACTACCATGATACTTTTATTTTTCTTTCTTCCTTCCATCTTTTTAAAGTACTATGTTCTATGTGCTTATCATGTGGCATCCGATTTAACTTGTTCAACAATGCCATGATACCAGTTCCATTATCACCCCTGATTTTGGGGTGAAGAAACTGAGGCACAGAGAAGTGATGTGTCTGGCCAGGTCCCCCGATAGTAAGTGGTGTGTCAGGGACCCTATGTCACCTTCTTTTCCAGGGAGGACAGCCAGCTAGCGCTCTGCATGAAGGATGTTTGCCTACCTATCAGCCTCCTAGTTTGGGTTTGGTTATTGGAATCTTGGCTGTCACATTACAAGGTTCCCTCCTTCAGTGTGTGTGTAGATAGATGAGGAGACTGAGAAACGTTATTAAGGCTGTCAAATAAGCAACAGTTGTGGTGCTCTCCTGCTAATCTGCAGTGACTTAAGAATGTGGGTGTACTGCATTCAGCCAGCCCAGAAAATTCAGTCCAGTAGGAAAGCAGTCATGACTGTAAACAGTTGTCATAGGAGGAAGTAGTTTTCTGAACTCAGAACTGACAATAAAGGGCCATGAAGTTTTAAGTCCTTCTGCCTAGAGAAATCCAGGAAGGCTTGCTGGAGGAGGTGCTCTTCAAGGCCTCACTTCCCCTAGATGCTTTTTGCTGGGACAGGGTAAATCAATTTATAGAAGACTTTTTCTTTAGGCAGCCACCTCTGGGGGCTCTGCCTTCCTTCAGCCTGGAGGTCTCTGGTTGCCTAAGAAGAGTCCCAGGCAAAGACTGCACTCCTTGCTATGAGTCTTCTTCCCTGACTTCCCTTCCCCCACCTCTCCCCAGGTCTGCAAGGGACACAGGCTTGTGAAAGAGATGACTGTTTGTTTTATAACAGGAGCTTAACATGATTCATTTCAGATTCCCCCAAGGACTTTTGTAAAGTTTGGACTGAGTCATAATATATTTTTTATTAAACTCCAAGACCCAACAAGCAGGAAGCTCTGTTCGACAACATAATATAACTGATGTACTGCAAAGCGGCTTTTAATGGGTGAGTCCTCAAGCTGCTCCAGAAATCCTCTGGCCTCTCCTATCACCGCCTGATTCTGGAGGGAGATTAAAAGGGTTTTGGAGACTTGTCATTTCACCCTCCAACCACCACCATATGCACACACGTACACATTATAACACACATGCACATGCTGTCCCTCTAAATGCCACAGTTAAAAGCTGAGAATCTTAGGACAGAGCGACCCCCATTCCAGACCCTTCCAAGGGCCTAATATGTTCTGCCAAACACAGAAAGGCCCAAAGGGCAACATTTGAACAGGGAAAACTGCTCCCCACCCACCCAGAGAGTGTAGGGTTATAATGTAGGGCAATGATTCTCAAAGGGTGGTCCTGGGTCAGCAGCAGCAGCGGTGGCAGTAGCTGTACCACCTTGAACTTCTATAAAACACAAATTCTGAGGCCCTATCCCATCTCTAGTCAGTCACAAGCTCTGGGGTTGAACCTAGCAATTTGTGTTTGAAGGGGATTTTCAGGAGATTTTGGTACTTGCTAAACTTTGAAAACCACTGGTACAAGGGGCCTTCTACTCAAAGTATGGTCTCTGTACCAGCAGCCTCAGCATTGCCTGGCAGCTTGTTGGAAATGCAGACACTCAGGCCTACCCCAGGCCATTCAGAATCCATATTTTAGCAAGACCTCCAGTTGAATCCCATTCATATTAAAGTTTAAGAAACACTATTGTAGCCACCATTGGACTTAGGGATCTCTGCTGGGCACATAACTTCTGAGCCTTATTCTCTTGACTGGACCCTGGATTGGTGCGTGGGAACTCTGCGCCCACTCCTGGTTAAAACCGGGGTTGGAGGGATATCCGCCTCCCACAGCCCCAGCCTCACAGAGGTGCATAGAACCTTCCTTCCTGCTTCTCCCTGGTGATCGCGTGACCTCTTGCTCCTCGGACCCTCACCCTCTCTAGTGACAGGGGCTGTGTTCTTGCAGCCCTCCCACTGCTTGTGTTTCTGCTCTTTCTCATGATTAAATATCCCCTGGAGCACGTTGCTGGAGTTCTCTGATTGTACTGTGGAAAAGCTCACATGGTTTTCACTTTGAAGTGTTTCATTTCTTTGTTTAAATCCAGCATTGCCCTCTGATTGGGGCATATCCAGTGACCTTAGAGTACAAATCATAAAGAGTTTCTCCAGGACCATTCAAAATAGACCCCAGAATCCACTGTATGGGGATGTGTTTGAGTATAGCTGTTAGGTACACATTCCTAAGCCTTCCCAATGCATGGTGGTACTTTAAAAAAGGAGAAGACAGAATACTTGGAGTCTTGATGAATTGCTGAAAAGAACTAAAAATGACCTCAGCAGCACAGATACCTCCTCCCCACTTTCCTGCCTCCTACCATGTCACAGATCTGTGACAAGGGGCACACAGTCGGCTTAGTGCCCCATACCTAAGGTAGTGAGGCCAGAACAAAATGTGGGTCCCTAGACAGAGAAGGGGTGAGGGGAACGGAAATCCACTATTCCCTCCTGCAGCCACCAAAGGGAAGTTAGAGGAACAAAATACTCCCAGCCTCTGGGCCCCAGACAAGCAGTTATTTCCCTTCCGGGAGCGTATGGTTTAAACATGTATCCAATCAGGGGCTGCCCGCCTGCACAGAGGAGCCCTCGCACACTGTTAGTCAGAAAAGTAGTTTGGAAATAAGATTCAAGAGCCTTGAAAACGTCTGTATCCTTTGACCCAGTAATTCTACTTCTGGGAATCTGTCCTAAGAAAATAATCTGAAATTCACACAAAAACGTGTCCACATGGTTGTTCACAGCCGCTTTATTTACCAGGGAAAAATTGGAAAACCACTAAATGCTCCACTTCAGGGAATTGGTTAGGTAAATTATGGTTCATTCAGAGAAGGGAATATTTTGTAGCCGTTAAAAATGATGTTTACAGAACTTTTAATGACACGGGGAAATGTTTATGGCATCCTATCAAGCACAAAAGGCAGGATGTAAAATCCACACGTGCAGGCTGATCTCAGCCATGTGAAGCAATTATGGGCAAATGGCAGGAAAGAAAAGCACCCGCAAAAACTGTTCAGAGTAGTGGTCTCAGGATAGTACAACCATGGATGATTTTTCTCTTTTCTTTCCACTTTTCTGGGGGTTTTGTCTACATTTGGAAACTATTGCTGATCAGCACCAGGTATTTATTTGAGGCAATGAAACAAAAACAGCATTAGCCCAATAGTGAGCAAGGAATGGAACAGCCGTCTTTCCCTCCTGAACATACGTTGCTTCTGAAAACAGAGGGAAAATTAAATAAACATTATTTACCAAACAAGAATCCAATCAAAATAAATAAATAAGGCATCCCTGTGGAGGAAGGCCCCTGCTCCTACAAGAAGTGATTGCCTGTTTCCAGCTTATCATTTTTGGGGAATCTTAGAAAACCAACTACTGTGAAATTGACTTCTTACTGATTTTAATTGAGATGGATCCCAAATGAAAGGATCAGAAATGAAATTCAGGCTGGCTGCCTGGGGCAGTCAGTGACCCTGCACTGTCCCAGATGGCAGAGGAGCTAACAGGGGTATCTCACAATTCTAGGTCCCCCACTCTCAGTCTTTCAGGGGTAACTCTGAGGTCCTGCCACCCATTGGCTGAGAGCTGAGTGCCAGTTGATCTCAGGGGACCTGGGCCAGCATATGGTTGGGCATTCACTCCCCAGTACCTCCCCCACATACACTCTCTCACATGCAGACACATCGGGGTATTTCCTTCCCTCTGCACAAGGTATGTAACATTTTGTGATGTTACAAGAAGGCACCACATTTTAGTGTGTACTTTAAATTGCACAAGGACTTAAGAAAGTGTCATCAAATCTGCTTTACAGTGTAGCAAACTCCATTAAGCATTCTTCCTTCCACCTGCTTGTGTACCTCATGTGATTCAGGGGGAGGCTCTCTTTACTGGGATCCCCTTCAACTTTGGAGTGACTAGTTCTCTTAATGTTCCCTTCAAGCAGAGTGCTCAGGATAGTCTCAGTGTCCCTGCCACCTTTTCCTACTTGCCACCTTGGTGTCTGCTCTCTTTTCCTCTCATCCTCCTTTTAGGTGTCCCCCAGTCCCCCCTTCCAGCAATCTACTGTTGGACACATCCATGGCTTTCTCAATAGAAAAATATGACTCTTCTTTGCCTAAATCCTGAAGACCTCCCATTTCATGTCCAAACAGGCTCATTATTGCTGCTCTCCCGCCCCCCCCAAAAGAGTTTTCCCTTAAAGATACACTCTGATTTCTAACCAGTCAGCATCACTATGGCCAGTATTTTAATATCACTTTGCTTGTATATGCTGCTTTTGGCACTGTAGGCTGTAAAGTGGAGGTAATAGTGGAAAACATCTGATGCTAAAATGAAAAGGGCTAATAAATAAGAAAGGAAATAAAGCAACTGATGTGATATAAAATCATAATAATACAATGAGCTATTGTAGGTACTCTAACAAGTTTGAAAATCTCTGTGAGACAGGGCGATTTTCTGAGAAAATGTAAGTGACTCAAAGAAAAATTTAAAAAAAATTAAAAGAAAAATGGTGCGATAGGCAAGGAGCATGTTTAAAAATGTTTTGATGGAATTATTTGTTTTAAACAGGTCTCAAGTTAAGAGGGTTTAATGGTGTCTAAGTCTCAAGGAACGGAATTTCTATTGTGGGTTGCATAGTAGACAATCTTTGGGATCAGAAGGTCTGAGTTTAAATCCTGGTTTACCCTTAACTAGTTGTATGATCTTGGGTATGATACTAAATCTCTATGAATCTCAGTTTCAGTAGGAATTCAGCCAAAGAACTAGTCATGGTAAGACTGAATGGTCCACGTGTGCTTTCTGGAGGTGCTGGCCTGTGATGGATTTGATGTATCTGCCATGGTTACAGCTAGCCTTTCATGGTTTGTTGTTGTTGTTGTTTTATTTTTCATTTTTTAAAAATTTGTTCTAATTAGGCCTTTCACATTTTTGCACAAACTTCATACATTTAAGGGATGGATTTGCAAGTTGCCTGGCCAGAGTTAGAATAGGGTCCATTTCATGGAAGTGTCCAGTCTGCAAAAGCACTGTTATTCTCTATGGGCTATCTGCAGCACTACTATGTTCTACATGTAGTGGTCCATTCAATCCTTACAACAACACTGTGAAATAGGTGGTATTATCACCCGATCTGAAAGATAAGGAAACCAAGGAAAGCCAGGTTTGAGAGTGCTTCTCCCATGGTCATATAACAAATTTAGGATTGGAACTCAGGCAGACTTCCACAGAGCACTTGGCGACCACAGCCTTCTGTTCCCACCAGTGTCTTGCATTTATAAAGCACAATATCATAGACTTCTGCTCATGTGATCATGGCAATAGTGTTAGGTGTTCTTATTTTTATAAAGGAGGAAACTAGAGAGTTCTAAAGTGACTTATCCAAAGTCCTACAGAACCTTAGCTCTGGGCTTGGCCATTACTCTCTTTATACCTGAGCACTCGGAGCCTCAGTTTCCTCATTCTTGGGATGGGGATAAGGATGCCCAGTTTGCCAGGCTAAGGTGAGGATGGAACATGTGAAGCCTTTAGCAGGATCCCAGGAATAGCAAGTGTTGAGTGGATGTTGGTGACTGCACTGTCATGGTGATCATTATTTTTCAATGTCAGTTAGCTCCCTTTGTTCTGTGATGCACAGACCCTAGCAATGCACCCTCCTACCAGAGTTAACCAGTGCCCCATGTCCTGGTCAGTACAAAGGCACTAGAGTCAACACATCTAGGTCTTTGCTACCTCCTAAGTTTGTCCCACACTCTGTGATTAGCCTCTCGGAACCTCAGTTTTCTTCTCTATAAAATGAGAATGATAACATCTGTCTCAAAGGATACTTGGGAGAATTAAGTGAGCACATGTATTTTGAAAGTGCCTGACTCAGAAAATGCAGCAGCAAATATGACTTCCTTTCCCTTCTTTGGAAGTGTTTTTCATGGAGCAGAGCCATGCGTTTGATAAAAAGCAGACATTGCAGGCGCTCAGCTGTGTTTCTTCAGTAGGAGTTTTCAAGGCTCGTCTGCTGTGAAAGTGTTACCTGAGCACCTCCTATGAACCCAGGGCTAGGTGGGGATGCAGAGGAAACATAAAATATGACCCTGTGACATTTCACCTGTGGCTTTATGGGATCCGATGCTGGTAGGAGCAGAGCTGCCCCTGCAGAGAGAACGCTCACCTGATAACCCAACTCTTGAGTCCTGTATTAGTCACCATTATACAGAGAAATGGAACAAATAGAGAGAGATATGAAGAGATCCTTTATGAAGCATTGATTCACACAATTATGGAGGCTGAGAAGTCCCACCATCTGCAGTCTGCCAGGAGGCCCAGGAAAGCCATTTATGTAGTTTCAGTCCACCCAAGGACCTGAGAAGAGGTATCACTAGTGTTTGAGGACAGGAGAGGATAGCTCTCTCACATGAAGCAGAGAACAAATTCACTCTTCCTCTGCTTTTTGTTCTGTTCAGGTCCTCATGGGATTGGATGATGCCCACTCACATTGATAGGGACATTGATGATGACAGTGTTTACTTAGTCTACAGATTCAGTGCTAATCTCTTCCAGAAACACACTCATGGACACACCCAGAAGTGTTTTATCAGCTATCTGGGTACCTTTAGCCAAGTCAAGTCGACACATAAAATTAACTATCCTCTGAGTCCCCAGGTCAGGGAGAGCTTTCAAGGAAATGTTTCTTTTCAGGTAGGTAGAGCAATACGATCTAGACAGCCCTCCCAAACTGTTAGCTGCATATTAGTCTGCAGGGACTAATATCATAACATAATTAGTATAGCAGTGCTCCCAGCTTAATTAAAAATGCTGCATATGAGGGGCAGTTAATGAGAAATGCAAGGTTTGATGATTCAGAACTGCTGAGATTTAGCAGTTTAGTGGGCGTAGCGAGGAAGCGTTGAATTTATTTCCTTTTGCTGTTCTCTTTGTACATCTGGACAGGAAGGGGTCTGAAAGGAATTGCTCACAGTATGTACAGTTAGCGAACTTTGATTATCTGGAGGTCCCTCGGCTTTCTGCAACACTGCTGGGGGCCAGCCAAGCAGGAAACAAAAAAAGCCTTGGAGCCCACAAAACACATTTCAATTTGTGCACCAGTCTTTTGCTTTTCTGATAACAAATCCACTCAACCCATACTTGAAAGCTATTTGTTGATGCTTACTTTATGCAAAATTTTAATAAGCCAGGTAATCTGATTTTCCAAGCATTAGCAGAACAGCAGACACTCTTCTGGCCCTGGGGGATGGGGCCTGCAGAGGTGCCTGGCTCTACACCCGCATCGGGTCAGGAGCAGTCTCCCAGGCACAGGGTATGTTTTGAGCACAGGAGAGATAACTAACTATGTAAGAATCTCTACTCTTAAGGGGCTTACAGTTTAGGAGCAGACAGATGTTGTCTCAGTCAAGGATCTTGGGTTCAGACAGCAGAATCTATTCTGGCTAGTTGGAACAGAAAAGGATTTGGTACAGGATATTAGGTGGCTTGCAAACTTTCCAGGAATGCCAGGGGCTCAAGCTTAGATGCTACAGAACTACAGGAGCAGCCAGCACGTCATAGGATTGTTGTGATGGAATCCCCTTTGTCCTCCCTCCTTGGGACTCAGAAGTCTAGGAACTAGACTGTGGAACCTACACCACTCTGTCCAGATCAACAAACTCCTCCACCAGTGTGCTGGCAGGCAGGTCTCATTTACCTGAGCATACTCACCAACTGCAAGAACACACAGCCTCTACATCCCTGCAGGATCACCAGGAGGGATGCTGTGTCTTTGACAGTTGTCCTCCCCATAGACCAAGAAGGGGTGGAAGTGGGTATTGAGAGAGTGAGTATGTGGTGTCTGCTACAGATACAGCAGATGATTGGTGGTCAGCAAGACACATCCTGTTGTAGAGGCACATTCTGAGGGCTGACTCAATGCTGGACGGGACAAAGGGGACACAAAGGGACACCTGTGTCTATGTGTGAGGGGAATGGAGAGACTCTGGGGATGGAACCCAAACATGCTCTACTTCTGAGCTACATAGTCAGCCCTTTTTCTTTTATTTTGAGACAGGATCTTGTTAATTTCAGGCTGGTTATAAACTCATGATCCTCCTGCCTTGGCATCCAGGGACTTGAGATTGCTGGTATTGGCCATTGTGCCCAGCTGCTGTATGTCCCTACTTCTTATCCAGAGAGTCAAACAAATCTCTGCAAGTTAAATGAAAGAATGAGAAGAGGGCTGGATGTGGTGGCATTAACCTGCAATCCCAATGACTTGGGAGGCTGAGGCAAGATGATTGCAAGGTTGAGGCCAGCTTCGGCAATTTAGTAAGACCCTACCCCAAAATAAAAATATAAAAAAGAACTGGGGATGTAGCTCAGTGGTAAAGTGCCCCTGGGTTCAATCCTCATTACAAAACAAATAAATAAATAGGGAGAGGGCCTACAGGAGGGTGCTAGTAAGAGGAAAAGGTCATTTCCACAGAGCCTCAGGCCAATGCTCAGTGTGGAACATGACAAACTTGATATGTGTTTGTATACTTTTTTATATCCATAGAGTCAAGTACTTATATCTATGCAGAGGCTGTCACTATGGCTTCTTTCCCATTTCCTTCTCCTGCTTTCCATTCCCTTTCCTCTGCCTTCCCAAACTTTCCTGGCCTGAGTTCCATTGGTCTTGTTAATTTCATTAACAAGATCATTACCGTTGATGCTGATTATTGTCATTAGTGTTATTGTTAAGGTCCCAGCTTCCCCATCCTGGGTACCTACCACACATCAGGTCTCACAACCAGGAGAACGCAGGAATTCTGACTGTCCCCATGTCCCTAGGCCTCAGCCCCACATCTCACACTTGGTTCTCTACAGTGGACCCCTCTGCCTTTTGGAATTTAATTAGAATGCTTCTCCGGGGGAACTCTGGGAAGGTTTCTGGTCTTCTTCTCTTAGTATTATGACAAGGCCACATGGCTTACCCGAGCCCAACACCAGCTCTTCGGTTCTGGAAATCTTTATTGCTGCAGCAGGTGTTTCCATCTTCTCTTGCCAGTCCTCCTGGCCAGCTGTCCTCCCACAAGGGAGAAAAGCCCCCCACATGCTCCACTGGCACGGATATGGGACAAGGCTTCCTGGGTGCACTGTTTCTTTTCCTAAGGGAAAAAACAGCTTTGGGAAATAAGCCCACCTCCATTCCCACGTAGCAATTATGTGCATAATTACATTCCACCAGGTGTCACTTAAGAGGGTGAAACCCATTAAGTGTTCAAATGAGAAAACAGAAAGGAGCCTCTGAGAAAGCCCAGGAATGGTGCTCTCTGCAGGGGTGGAGGGAGTGAGCGCGGAGGTTTCCTGAGTGTCCACCAGGCCCCTGCTTTCCTTTAAGTGATGGCTCAGCCTGAGCATGACCCTGTGTGCAGGGGAGAGTAGGCCTGATCTGAACCTTAGCTTAGCCCATGCAGTGGATCTCCCAAGAGCTGCCAGCCACAGTGAAGAACAGCCTTTACAGGAAGTGCACACACATAGCACTCTGTGGTCCATTTTAAATTCATAGAGGAGTAAACCTTCTCTTTCTTATTTTTTTTCTTTCTCCTAACTTTCAGGGTACCCAGAACACAGCAAGTATCCAATAAATACATGACAGTCTTTTTTTCTCCCACTTAGTATTAGGGATTTAACCCTGGGGCACTTTCCCATTGAGTTATATCCCCAGTACATTTTAGTTTTTATTTTGAGAAAAAAATCTCACTAAGTTGCTGCTAGGATACTGAGGCTGGTCTTGACTTTAACATCCTCCTGCCTCAGCCTCCCGAGTCTCTGGGATAGTAGGCGTGTGCCACAAGTCCAGCATGACAGGCTTCTTTATCACCATTCTCTCTCTGTTGCTCTAATGATGAACAGAGTTCACAAGGAAAGAAGATCTGAGGGAAGAAAGCACCAGGCACAGGCGAGCTTATTTAAATTGACATTTACAATGGAAAGTGGCTGCTGTAGACCTCATTTTACAGATGAGGAAACAGGCTCAGAGAAAGGAAGGGACTTACCTGAGGCCACTGAGGATTTGAACCCAGGTCTGCCTGACTTCAAAGGCTGTGCTCTTTGTACTACACTGAAGAGCCCCCCTTGGGGCGCGTCCCATGCAGAGCTGACTGTGTGCTCTCCTGTCAATGCCATGAGGGAGGAACATTCAGGGGTGTCCGGTTCCTCAGTCATATTGAGAGAACCCCTTCCTTCCTGCTAACCAAAAGCTCCATACCCAAGCTGAGTCAGAAGAGCCTTCTGCTTACTCATGTGAACCCTGTCTTTGGGCCATCTTGACCAAGCTTTGTCCACTGAAGTTTCACAAAGGGCCACCTGGAGGTTCCGTGAGAACAGACTAGAGGCCTGTCAGCCTGCAGACCTGCTTCCTCCCTGATTAAGCCAGACTCACCATCTCCTCTCCCCACTCATACCCCCACAAATGTGAAGTGACACCTGGGTCCCTGTCTTGCCTAAATACAGCACACACTGTGCCCTGTCCAGAGCTAGGGGTCAGCCTCCTCCCACCATCCTCCGACTTTTTCTCACCAGCATTTACCAGGTTCAATTAAATCAGTCTACCAACATGGCTCCAATCCCTGCCACCTTCCCACCTCCTACCTCCACCATCATCTAGACCTCTGCACTAGTTTCTCCAGAGGCCTTTAAATCTTCCTTTCCACTCCTATCTCCCATAGAGTTATGGGCGAGACTTGCAAAAGATTTGTTTTATCCATCCAACCAACAAGCTGCCTAACCTTCCATTCATCCAGTAAGTGTTCGTAGAATGTATACATTTGCTGTGTCAGGTTTCATGATGGACTTGAGATGAATGCAAATTTAGATAAGAAATGGTCAAATCTGTTGAAGTTGAAGAGATAAACATCCAAACATCTGCACAGGTGGAAGGCAACCCTAGGAAGGGTGTCCAACCCAGCCTGGCAGCCTCGGTGGAGGCTTCTGGAGGAGGTGGCTGGGGCGGGGCCACTATCCACACACAAAAGCCTGCACATTTGAGGAATTTCAAATACCTGGCAAGGTTATAGGGAAGGGTGTTTGCTGCAAGTGTAGAGGCCAAATCTTGAGAAGCCTTGAACTGCTGTTGGCAGTGGGATGCCCCTGAGGGCTTAATCTAGGGAGCAGATGAACAGAGAGCTCATCTGACTGGGGTTGTACCTGATCAACACTTTTATTCTCCTAAAAACTGCTTGGGCATAAGGGTCACACTCAGAGAAATCCCTTTTTATTCCATGTCTATTGCTGTCACAACATGGCTTGAATGTTAGCACAATTTGAGAGCAAATCATCTGGGATGTGCTCAGCCACTCCTGCCTCCCTGCCTCAGCCTATCCAGAGTGCCCTACCGGAGGGCCCAGTAGGAGCTGATCATAAACAGGCCAGCTGCTACCTCCTGCTCTTCTAATCATCTATGGGAGAAATGGAAAACCCACTCCTTTTCCTTGCTGAATACAGATGGGGGTCAGTGTATCTTGGGTTTGGGAGTCAGGAAGTGGAGGGGCTCAAGCTGGGAGCCACCCATGCAGGGTTCCCGAGCCTAAAAAATTTCCCCACCTTGCATATTCAGCCCCCGCTGGCCCTCTTTTTTCACCTATTGCCAGTCTGCAGCCTCTGTTCATGTCCCTTATATGCTCCTGCCTCAGCAGAAAGCATGACCCGAAACCCTAAACCACTGGGTTGAAGCCCTTCGCTGTAACCTTGGGCCAGTAACTCACCTCTTCTGAGTTTTGGGGTTCCACCTTGAATTGTGTACAGGGCTAATGTTCCCTGCCTTACTTAAGTCTCAGAGCTGGGTGAATCAAAAGTGTTAGCAAATATGGAAAAGCTTTCTACATGTCACAACTGCCCTCAAGTAGGTCTCATGATGCCTATTTCACAGGTAAGGAAATAGAAAACTGAGAGATGTTAAAAAAACTTTCCAAGCTAGAAAGTGGGTGCCCTAATGTAAGGCCCTGCAGCTGGAGATCATGTCTGTTTATTCACCCAGTATATTTGACAGTGTGGCTAGAATATAGTAGGTGCTAAATAAGTACTCTTCAATGACTGCCTCTAAAGATGGTAACCTTTCAATTCATCTCCAATCTTTTAAATTTAAAAGAAAAAAATAAGCTTACTAATTAGGCATAAAGGCTTTTTTTTTTTTTGCTCTAATTTTTATTTCTTTGATTACTAGAGAAACTGAACATTTTTTTCCATGTGTGTATTCAGTCAACACACTTCTTGTATAACTGGCCCCTGCCCTTTACCAATTTATTTGGGGGCAGGGTACTAAATGCTTTTCCTGATCATTTGCATAGGTTCATTACTGGATAGATAATAACCTTCTCCTATCTTCCATGCTACAAATATTTATCCAGTTTGATGTCCTTTAAAAAAAAAGTATGTCCTTTTTACTTTGTTTTCTTTCTTTCATGTTTTGCAGAATTATAGAATAAAATTAATTTCGTTCATGATAAGTTGTATCAGTAGCATGCCAAAACCCCAGCCAAGGTTTGGAAGTGAGTTTCCCCAGGCAACACATACCTCTCTCTCTTCCCCAACGAGCTGGGCAGGTTGAAGGTAGTATCAAAAGCAGACGTGAACGTAAAAGCAGCCACAGAACGCAGCCCTAAGCCCACAAGCTCTTGCTCGGCAGCCAGAAGACAAATCTTCTGTACCATAAACATACGATTGGCTTATGTGTGTTTTACTATACACAGGTGGTTTTGATCTTCATCAAAAGGCCTAGTGACATGTTTTTCAAGTTCTCCTTGGTTGCGCCTATCTCCCTGCACACTGCCTGTGTCACCCTTGGCCAAATGTCACAGAATCAGAAAACATGAGACTGGGGTGAGTGGCTGATGAGAACAAGAATGCTCTGGGTTTGGCTTTACTGTAGCACCCCATTTTGCTATCCATTTGTACATGGGTGCTCACAGCCACCAGTGGTAATGGTGTAGGTGACGATAGGATTTCCACTCTCTGGCAAGGGAACTGAAGCCCAAGAGCTTGTTCATGGTCCCCGTGCCAGACACAGGCTGAGGCTGGAGCCTTGCCCTGGGGTAACAGAGCTGCTATTGCTTCTGCTTTAACAAATGAATTCCTGGGCCAGTCTTGACCATTCAGTAATGGAATGGGGCAGTGTTTTGCACCCCAAGCCCCACTCTTGAAAAAGATGGGCCTCCTTGCTGCTGTGGAGCTCTTCAGTTCTAAACTTCTAGAGAAGATCTTGAATGAAATGTGTGTCCCTTCAGCCACAAGGAGATGCTCCTCCAGAGAGAGTGAGGTTATGTCTTAAAAGAAGGAACAGAGACTAATGACAGGCATTTCTGGAAATGGCCTTCAAGCCAGGACTTAAATGCCAGCTTGGCCATCAAACCTTCCTTCCTTCAACAGAATCTGTCCTCTTCCTTGAAGCTTAGAGTCTATCTGAAGAGAAAGTGACATACCTCAGTGACTATAAAAGTACACTCCAGCACTGCTGTTCACTCACTCAACAAATATTTATAATTGAGGAGCTACTCTGTGCCAAGCACCACCTAGTGTAACAGTGAACACAAGAGGCCACCATTATGCACTTCCACTCAGCCAGGGAGATAGACACCAAACAAGTGGATCGGCATAGAATGCTGGGATGCTGGAGCCCTGGGGTGGTGAGAATGGTCAGGAGTGGGCAGGAATGTGCAGTGTGGCACAGAGAAATGAGAGGTGCATCCTGCTTGGAGTGGTGGCTCAATGAGGCTCTCAAAGGGAAGCTTTCTGTGCTAAGTAGGCCCTGACTTCTGATAGGGTTTCAGGCAGACAAGGGAAGGAACAGTATTTTGGGCAAAGTAAGAAGCAAAAGCTAGGCTTGGAGTACTGAGAGGTGTGGGCTTGTTTGGGAAATTGCAAGCAAGTCTGTTGTGGCAAAAGGAAGGAGGAGGTAAAGCCAGGACTTGATGCTGGAGAGGTACATTGTGGCCAGACATGAGGGCTCTGTGGTGTTGCAAGAGCCGAGAACACTGATGACTCTGGAGAGGCTGTTATGACCACAGACCATGTCTGCCATGGTTGCCTGGCCGAGCTGTTAGCCAGTGGCCCCAGCAGGCATAGCCATGGCTTCTGTGAACAAGAAATTGTTAGAAACACAAGAGACACTTCCAAAAGCCTACACACCCCTCATCATAACCGAGAGAAGAATATTAGATGATGTCCAGTCGTGGGCATCTTACAAAACCCTTCCAGAACTCTCCCAAACTGTCAAGATTATAAAAACAAGTATGAGAAATTCCCAGCCAAGAGGTACCCGAGGACACATGAGACTGAGTATAATGTGGTATGCATGTGGGATGCTGGGACAGAAAGAGACATTAAGCAAAAACTAAAGAAATCAGAAACAACTAAGGACATGAGTTTATAATAAATAGAAACCAATACTCATTCATTAATTGTAATGAATGAATCATGTTATTACAAGGTGTTATTATGGGGAAACTAGACACCAGGTATAGGGCAGCTTTCTGTACTATCTTCCTTAATTTCTTTGTAAATCCTTAACTGGTTTTTAAAAATTGTGAAAGCTAGGGCATAACAAAGATTGGAAAAAATAAAATGGGGAAACATTTGTAACCCCAAATTTCCTTGCTCCTCCCAGCTCTGGGTATAATTCTTCCCCATCCATCTTGATTCCTCCCCCAACAAGGTTTTCAGCCTCTTTAAGGTAGAAAAGGCACAGGTGTCCTCATGGGTGGGCAAAGGAGGCTGAGAAGGTGGATGGGGATGCTGAGGCAGAGACAGGCTGTGGTGGAGCCTCAGCCCGGGCTTCCTGCCTGGGCCAATGGAGGTTTCCAGGGAGGTGAGGCATGTGGCAGTTCATTAACAGCCCTGCTGTCGCACACCTGGTGGTCCTTTCCGTTCCTATGGGGGACATGGTCCGGGAAGCTTGGGTCAGTCAATAAAAGGCCACCTGTGACAAGAGCTTGAGCAGAGGCAGGAAGCAAATGCATCAGGGATCCCGGAGCCCTCTGACCTGACTGTGGGAAGCTGACCTCTGCTGTGAAACTGGCCCACACCTGTGGGGCTCGTTCCTGTGGACAGCTCGAAAGTCTGTCCCTTCCTTTCTGGTGGATTTTCTTTTTCCCTCCTGGCTGTGTCTTTCTGTTTA